CCCCCCCCCCCCCCCGCATCACAGCCCCCAGCATCAGCCCAGCATCACCCCTGTGCCAGTAACTCCTGCATCACGCCCTAGCATCCCCCTCAGTTCAACCCCTGCAACGCACCCCCTCCAATCAACCCTGTGACATCACACGCACCATCGTTCCCCAGTGCAGCCCCCAGCACCCCTTCCCACAGCACCGCATTGCCATTCACTGCACACCCCCATTGCACTGCGTTGCACACCCACAGCACATTGCACACCTCCGTTGCACTGCACACCCTCATTGCACTGCACACCCCAGGGGTCCTGCTCCCACCCCCACCCACCTCCCTCCATCTCCATCAATGCCCCCAGGACATGGCTGAGTTGGGGGTGGGGGTGGCTGGCATGGAGCACCGCCACCCCTGTGCCCGCCCCGGCAGAGGCTGGTACAGTTTGTTACGTCCAGACCGGAATGTACTTTGTGTTAGAAGTGGCCCCCAGCCAGAACGCGCAGCAGCCGTTATTTATACTCCCACTCAGCTCTCTGCATCCTGCGCCCAGCACTCATGGTGTTATCTGTGCTGGGGCCATGCTGGGCCCCCCCAGTGCCATGCCGGAGCCTTGGACTCTGCCCTCCTGCCATTCATTTACAGAGCAGCATCACCGCTTTCAATATATATTTTTAAAAATACATATTTAAACGTATAATTATAATATATATATTATATACATATATATACACATTCTTGGTGGGTTTTTTTCCCTTTCCTTTGGGGAGAAGACAATCCAGAGGTATAATTTACCCTTTGGGTGGCATAAAGCTGTCCGTGGAGGAGGGGAGTGCCATGGGGCACCCATGCATTGCACACACCCATTGCATTGCTACTCATCCTTGCGGGGAGCATTCCACTGGACTGCACACCCCCATTGCAACATACACCTCCATTGCATTGCTCACTCCCATTATACTGCATACCTCACTGCATTGCATACCCCCACTGCATTGCTGTGCATTCCCATGGGTGTCTGTGCCACCCCAGCGGGACACAGGGAGCTGTTGTGAGGGGGCAGCAGTGGATCCTAGCACACGTTGAAGTGCGCGCTGGGTGCATGGTAGCAGGGCCAGGGCTGTGATGGGGCAGCAGTGGGGCGCTGGGTCCCCACGTGCAATTTCTAGGGGTGGGCTCGTGGGCTCTCCTCAGCACTGTTTCCACACTTCAGAACAAAGCATGTAGATGGCTGTGTGCAACATCCCACCATCACTTCTCTGCTGGAAAGATTTGTGGGATCAGATGCAGCATGCAGCCATGCACCCCATAGCCAGGCCCCACCTTTGAGGGCCCCCTGTGCCCCTGTGGCCCCATTGCAGCTGCACCTCAGCCATCACCAGGGACACGGTGTACTCACACTGCGGTTGTGCAACCCCAGCCCTTCGCCTCCGTAAACACCCGACTGCTGCAGCAAAGGGCTGAGCTCACATCATGGCACAACTCAGCCCCCAACCTGGGCTGGGACATGAAGTGGATTGCCCGGGGAACTTACAGGGAAGAGGGGGAGGGGTGCAAGGGGGGCACCACCCAACAAACTGCTTTGCACCCCCAAAAGGGGCAAGGGGCTCAGTTTGGTGTTGGGAGCCTCATTGCTGCAGGAAGGACTCAGGGAGCAATGGTGCGCTGGGCTTAGAGGTGCTGCACTTTGCAGGAGGGAAGGAGCAGGGAATGCCTCTCCTCTCCAGCCTCCTCTCCTCTTTTTTTTTTTTTTCTTCTTTTTTTTTCCCCTTCCCCTTTTTCAGTTTTATTACCTTTGGGCAGAAGGCTTTGCCATCACATTCCACAGGGTGTGGGGGCACATGCCCAGGTTGGCACCCTAGGGGTATCCAGGTGTCCAGCATGCCCAGCTGTCACTTGGAGTGCCCAAGTTCAAGGCTTCACCCTGATCCCTGTCCCCATCAGGGGCATCCATGTGCCAGTGGGATGACTGACGAGGGACAGGCAGTGCCCTGGCAGCTGTGCAGTGCCTTCAGGGATTATTCCTGGAATTCTGCTCCAGAGGAGTAGATTTCCTCCTGGGATGGGGTAGGCATTGGGGGGGAGGGGGGGGCGGGACGACTGAGGAGGGGGAGCAACACACCCAGCACCAGGGCTTTGCATCCAAACCATGCAAGATTTCCCCTTGTTGCAGTGCCATGCTGCAGCACGTCCCACCTCTTCCTATGCCCACAGCTGTCTCCCGTGGGTCCCAATCCTGCCATCACCTCTCTGCACCCCATGCGACTGCTGGGGGCTGCAACTCTGCTCCCAGCCCAGCGCAGCGGGATCTTGCATAATGCTGTGCTACAACACCCAGGCACTGCGGGCGGGTGAGGCGAGGACAGGGCTGCACCGTGCATTTCCTGGCGTGGGGAAGTTGACGTCAGCTCGTGCTCTTCTAACATCGAATTTCCTTACAAATACGAATTGCAAAGTTGGGGTGGGGGAGGACAGAGCACCCCCACACTGTGCTGAGGGAATGGCCACTGGAAGGTCTCTGTTATAGAAACACCCCAGTACTCTCTTCCTATGCATATTATTGTATGCGCTTTTTTTTTTTTTTTTTCTTTTTTCTGTCGAATAAACAAATGGAGCATTACGGTTGCACAGCCCACTGCAGCCCCCCACAGCTGCTGCTATTTAGGACTTTGGCTTTATTACAGGATTCTGCACGAGGTGTAGCTGTGCCAGTGAGGACACCTTCCCCCTCCCCTTCTCCCTAGGGAGGTGGAGAGAAATGCAAAGATTTGGGGGCAGGAAATGGCTTTGAGCAGAAGCCGGGATCAGTGGGTCTCACATCGGAGTGCTGAGGGCCCGTGGAGCATCACCCAGGCCTGGGGTTCCACGGAAGGACACTGGGGGCACCTCCTGGAATAGGGCAGCTCTTCGGGAAGCGGCGGGGGGGGAGGGGGGAGGGAGTGGGAGGGTCCACCCCAGTTTGCAGGGTCGTGGTTTGGGTGTGGCCTCGGTAGCATTGCTCGATCCCTCCAGAGGCTCTGCTCAGGGCTGGGGAAGCATTGCATGATGACTGAGGGGCGGGGGGCAGTTCGCAGTATCTGGCGCGGGGGAGCTCTGGTATTGCATGGGGACGAGAAGCTCCCGGGCACTGCACGGAGCTGCACCTCCGTAGAGGTATTGCGCAGGGATGAGGCGATCCCCCCGGGGTTATGGTACGGAGGTGAGATCGCCCCCAGAGGCGTGGCATGGAGCTGCTTCCTTCGGGGGGCATTGCACGGAGTTGAGGACCCTTCAAGATCACTGCGTGGGGATGAGAATTCCCCAGCCACCGCCGGGAGCATTACAGGGGGCCTCGGCCATTCGACCCCGGTCCGCTGCTGCTGCTGCTGCTGCTGCTGCTGCTGCTGCTGCTGCTGCTGCTGCTGCTGCTGCTGCTGCTGCTGCTGCTGCTGCTGCTGCTGCTGCTGCTGCCGCCGCCGCCGCCGCCGCCGCCGCCGCCGCCCCGGGCAGCGCGCGGGGAGGGCGGAGCTCCGCGACTACGGAGCGGGCGGCGGAACGGAAAAACGCTCTGATTTGCATACCACCTCCACTCCAGCCAATGAGAAAACGATGCTGGCGGTGTAAAGTGGACGGGCGGATGAAACTACCAATGGGAGGTGAACAGAGGGGCGGGGCGAAGGGACAGGGAGACCCGGCCGGCGCGAGCGCCCGGTGCCACTCGGAGCCGGGCTGCGGCGGACCGCGGGCGGCGGCGGTGGGCAGGTGGGGTCAGGATGGCGTGAGGTGGGGCGTTGCGGGATGGGATTGGGGGGCGGGTTGGAAAGAGCTTCACGCGTGGGCTCGAGTGGTCCCCGACTCGTGCTGGCTGCGAAGCGTCCCAAGGAGGAGAGGGGGGAAAGGAGCGTCACGCCCACGGAGGCCGAGGGGACACGGAGGGGACGAGGGAGGGACCCGGGGGTGGGCACGCGTCCGTAGCGCTGTGTCTTTGGGTTCGCTCCGCTCGAGGAATTGTGCTCGTTCCCACGGAGCAGCGCAGCGCATCCCTCGCGGCAGAACCAGAGTCGGGATTGGAATGGAGGTTGAAAATTAGGACTGAGATTAGGATCAGGATTGGGATTGGGCTCGGGACTGGGACCAGGATTAGGATTGGAATTGGGACTGGGATCAGGATTGGGATTAGGATCAGTATTAAGATTGGGATTGGGACCAAGGTTACAATTGAGATGGGGACCGGGGCCCATCAGTACTGCAGTGCCCAAAGAGGGAATTTATTTTCAGAGTTGTCAGAAGATGAGGTTGTATCTGAACAGCTGTGTTCAGATATAATGACTTTCCTAATGGCATTGACCAAAAATACCCCTGAGTGCAGGCAGCAGTGTGTGGTTTCATTCAGGATGGGTGCAGCAGCATAGCCAAAGTAAATGGGGCATCTTGTTCAGATCCCTTTGTTTCCTCCCTCTGTAGCTGTTTGGGTCTCCCAAATCATCTGGATTTTATTTTTTATTTTTTATTTTGTTTTGTTTTGTTTTTTGCACCCAACCCACACCTGGCAGGATGTGCTGCTGTCACACCAAGTGTTCCCTGGGTGTCCTGAACTATGGAAGTTACAACCTGTAAGGAGTAACCCAGGGTTGAGCCAAGCCAGTGTCCTCGTGGTGCTGTGGCAGGAGATGCCACGTGAGTCCTGGACCCCATTGTGTGACATTACACTACCTTGGTGAGCCAGGATATGGGATAGTGGGGAGGAAATATGGGATGGGAGGAGAAGATATAGGGTGGGAGGAGGAAATATGGGGCAGGAGGAGGAATATGGGTTTCTGTGGAGGTGCTGGAGAAGTGATTGTTGGTGGAACCCTGGGAGGGAAAAAGTGATGGTGAGATAGTAGGGAGTGGCCCTGGATGTGGCCATTGTGTGACCCTGGAGGTGTGCTGGAAGAGCCTCAGTGATGGCTGTGGTTTGACACAGAGGTGGCCGTGGTGTGGCCATTATATGGCCCTGGAGGTGGCCATACGTGGGATCCAGTGCCGGGGGACCTGAAGAACATGGACTGCATGTTTCCTTGAGGTCCCTTTGGGATGAGGAGGGATGTGGAACAGTTCCCTCTGAGCAGGAAGAGAGCAGTGCCAGAGATTTCTAGAAAGCAGACCCCAAACCACCCTGCTCAGAACATCCCTGTGCTGCTCTGCAATTAGGTGGGTTTTAATTGCAGATGTGCACAAGGAGAAAGCTCGCTGGGAACCTTTGAGTCGCTCCACCTGGATACCCAGTCCTGCCCACCTTTGTTAGTGCCTGGAGGGTAATTAGCTGCTGGATGAGCCCAGGGAGAGGCGGGCTCAAATTTGGCCAATGCTTCCACACCATTGTTGAGTGCTGATGAGAGCTTTGCTGAGCTCTGAGTTGTGCCACTGTTTCCCAGCTCATTACCTTCTACTCTAGTTACTGCGGGGGTCTGTGCGCACAAAGAGGTGGGGACATGCATTCCAAAAGCATCCCTGGGCACTTGCGCAGAGCCTCATGTCAATCTTTAACACCCAGCACAGGGAGAACACCGAGAAACACTGCCCAGATAGGAGCAGACCTGCTTAGGAGCTGCAGAAATTGGGGGTAAGGCGCTGGTGGTGGTGTGTTCTGCAAAGTGGGGCATTTCTAGAGCTCTGGAAAGGAGTTGCTCACAAACAGTAGTGCTGCTCGTGGAGAATTACCCTAATTAAAGGTAGTCCCATTTCAAGGATATTTTTAAATTTACGTTAGTTGCCTAATTAAATAAAACTGGGCATAGGCAGTGTTGTCTTGTTTGCCAGCAACAGTGTTTCTGGCTTGCGCCCCGCTTGCCAGTGAAAGGCAGCACAGTGTGCACTGTTGGTGTGTGCACCCTTGTGTGTGCAGCACTGGTTTGTACATACTAGTATGTGGCTATACTATGCATATGTGTGCATAGGTGGCTGTGCACATTGTGCATGCACATATAGTTGTGCACATTTGCATGCACGTGTGGCTCAGCAGAGGTTTCAGAACCTGCTCTTGCAGTAGCTTCCATACATCCAACTGTACCTTCTCTTGAGCGCTGCTTTGCAGGCAGACATTGGGGTCTGTTCCCTGTACAGGTGTGCGGGGCTCTTGGTGTGCATGGATTGATGTGTTGGGATTTCACACTGTGCTCACAAAATGCTGCTGCGGATGGTAAGTGGCGAAATAGAGCCCACTGATTACGGGGGAGCTGTTGCAGTTGAGGCTCACCTGGCCAAAATGGACAGGTGCATTGCAAAAGCCCTCTGTTACAAGCAGTGAGATGCCGTTATAACAATTTAATGTTCCTTTCCAGATTTATCCAGGAAAAAACACTAACTTGGAAAAGAACTGGCATACTAGAAATCCCTTGTTTGCCCCATGCGGTATTGATGTGCGCTCCTTGTACGTGGGGATGCAGAGCAGCAGAGGCACAGCAGCAGAGCCCAGTTAAGTTTGCTCCGTGGCCTGCAGGCTGTGTTTGGGTGTGCAGACAGGAGCAAATCTGTTCTGTTTTTTTTTCAGCCTGGAAGGAAACAAGACCACGTTCCCCTCTATTGTGTGAGCAGCACTGAGCTCATGGAAGCACTGCTGTCCACAGAGCAGAGATTTGTAGATACCCATTCAAGTACATACCACTTCTCCATTTTTGAGTCACATTATATAGGTTTTACACACATTCTATCATCTGTCTATGATATATATGGTTACACAGAGGGATGGGTGGTCTCCTTGCTGCCACCACGCTTTGTCCTGGCTTTGCAGCCCCCGGGGGCACAGAGCTGAGCTGCAACTGACCTGTGAAGCTGTAGCGACTGCGTGTAGCACTGGGTATTCCTTGCAAGCACAGGAGTTGGCATTTGCTTTAATGAAAGCTGCCCTGGAGCAGCACCTGGTGTGTCTCTGGGTGCTGTTGGGGGTGTTCTTTCCTCCCTCCTGAGTTGCAACACTTTGCACAGTATTTATTAGAGAAAACCGTTTGCTCTGTCGGAGGGAAGTGAAACTGCAGTGTGGTGAGGAGACACACAGCGTGTCCCTTGTTGCCATATGAGGCAGCATTTGGGAACAGTGGGGTCCCACTTGGGGCTGTATGCGTGCCAAGCCAGGACCCTCCCTTTTTCGCTGCCTCCCCCTTTCCTCCCAGCTCCTGACAACCTCCAGGAGAGACACTGCAAAGTTTCCACTTGTAGCTGGAAAGTTCCCGGTATTGTGATTTCTAGGAAATGCAGGCTGGGATGGTGGCAGAACGGGGTCCTGTCAGACTTTGGCCTCTCCTTTCATTGTTGGGAATGAGCGGCCAGTTTTTACGGGGCAGGTTTTGGTGCTGGTGCCGTATCCAGTGCGGTCCTGGGGTGTTGCTCTCAGAGGGTTTGTGTCCAGGTGCTGAAGCCTCTGGGTTTGTCTTGGTTTTAAAACGTTTATTACAGCTCTTAAGTTACAGGTGTACACTGAAATGGTGTGAAGCCACCCTGTTGTGGTTACATGTCACAGTTAGGACATTTCCCATTGTGCCCACATTCACATGGATTCCTCCTGGCCCTGCAGCCTCTGGTACATGGCTCCCAGCAGGGAGTCATTGCTGCTGGGCACAGCTTTGGAGAATGAATGTGATGCTGGACCCGGCCGATCATTCTGGCCTGAGAGAGCACCAGCCCTGGCGTGGAGCAGAGCTTAGGGAGCAGCAGCCTTCCTCCGATGGATTGCTTCCTGTTAATCACTCAGGAGCCCCACCAGCCTTCCCTGGCTGTGCTTGTGCCTCCACAAGGCTGGAGATGAGCAGAAGCAGAGTCACCTTCTCTCTCTGTTTTGATAGATGAAGGTTTCTGAGCTCTGTCCCAATACACAGTGGCCCTGTAGGCTGCATCCCTCCCTCTGTTGCTGACGCAGGGCATCGCCCCCCCCACTCCTCCCTGTGCCTTGGCCAGCTGCCCTGGATAGCTGCACTAATTGCTTACGTAGAAAAATAACGAGGAGGATGCGTGTGGTGTATTTTTAGATATCTCTTGGTGGGATTTGGCGACTGGTGATACAGAGGTGGCATCTCCCGAGCCATCTTCTGTGCCCCCATGGTGACGCTTGATGCACCCAGGGAAGCTCTGCCTCAACAGGCTTTGGAAGGCTTGCTGTTCTTTGTATACATGGATGGGGATGATCTGAGCTCCGTGGGGTCTTGCTGTATTTCTGCTGTGCAGTGTGCTGGTGGCTGCAGCCAGGAGCACATGGGCTGGATGCAGGGCACCTTAGAGCGGGAGGTGGGAAGCTGATGGATGCTGCAGGATGGGCCATTCAGCTGAAAACGATGTAGAAATACCCTGAGCTTCCCAACTGCCCTCCTTGCACCAGTGCTCTTGGTGCTTTTAGGGGTTGCCATCCAAAATCTCTGCAGAGCAGGGGAAGTGGAGCAAATGCAGCATCTCATCAGACATAGCCCCAAAGACTTATAACGGGGCACTGCAGCGGCAGTTCTCTTCTTTCTCTGTTCACTCCTTCCTCGTGGAGCCCTTTGTGTCTTGCTGGTTTCCTGTGCTGGGAAGGCTGGAGTTGGGTTTGTCCCACTCAGCCCAGGCGCAGTTGTTCTCACAGTGTGACTGATCTGCCTTGGGAGCTGAAAACATCCTTTCTTTGCTGTTTATGAGGCCTCGAATGGATGATTTCTAATGTTGGTTGGCGTCAGCTTCCACATGAAAGGCTGTGGGAAAGTTTGGCAATTACACTGACTTTTATAGATCTGTTTTATGTTTCAAAAACCCTTGCTTTCTATTTCTGTGTTGTATGGTTCCTTGATTACGTGTTGCACAGTAGTGTAGCGACCAAAACAAGTCATCCCATCTAAGGGAAATCATCAGGAAATGGTTTTTTTCCTCAACCAGAAGCATTTATGTTCTCACTGGGCAGCGTTTGTCCAGCTCTGCCACGGATGAAAGCCGTGGTTGTCCATCGCCGTGGCGAGGCACACAGCAGCCTACACAGAGTTCAGGTGCCTGGCTGCATGGGTTTTGCATCATGTCCTTGCAGTGCTTCCCCATGCAAACTGCACTGTGTTCTGCTTGTATTTTGTTTCAGCAAAATGTTCAGTGCCACCGATGTGGGCACAGTCTGCTGGCTGCAGCACACTCTTCTCCTGTACAGTTGTTGCTTTGGGCAGCACTTTGCCCCAAAAACTCATTTCTTGCAGTCTTCTAGCAGATATTCTTTGTTGGAATTCTGTTGGCACTGTGTTTGCACTGCCCTGCTTTGCCTTTACGTCTTCCCATTGGGGTGAGACCATGTGGTAATCCACAGCATCAGGGCTGACCCACAGCCTCAGCACCTTTTTGGGTCTTTTTGGGCAAGAGGAACGATGCATGCCTGGGTTTGGGCCATTCACTTAAGAATAATGCAGCCTCTGACGGAACAGGAACTCGTTCCTCGTGGAAAATAATCCTCATCAGTGCGTGGCGTAGCTCGAAGCACAGCATTGTGCAAACTTTCAGACAGCATATAAGAGGGGCTGAGTTGAGGGAAGGAAGAGCTCTGAGGGCTCTGCTTTTCCCCTCAGAGCATCTCAGCCTCTCAGCTTCACCACTTTTCGTGGTGTCTGCTGATAAAGGTGCCTGAAATCTCTCTTTTGGTGTTTATTACTCTTTGGGCTGAAGGCCAGCATCTTGTTAGGACTGCAGTCGTGCTGGTGGAGCGTCCCCCCAGAAGGCCCCAGTAGGTTGGGTGCAGCCAACAGCGCCGAGCTCCTGCATTATGCTGTGCACTGGGAGCCCCTTGGTTGGCACCCTTTGACCTGTTGGCACATTTTGTTGGTAAAACCCTTTCTGGGAGACTCTCTGTAGCAGTATGAGAGGACCCAGGGGTGAGAACTAGCAGGACATGACTGTCTCCATCATGGTGCCGCAGCGTGGATCCGGCTGCCAGGGCAGCTCAGTGCCTGCCGCTGGAGCTGCGTGTGCTTGTGGTTCAACAGCGCTGAGCTTGGGTGGCCCCTGGGAAGGGATTTTCCGCTCTGCATGCTTGAGATGTTCTCTAAACTTCCTGCACGGCTAGCAGCACTAGGGCTCTGTAGTTCTTAACCCTTTCCCCCTCCTCCTGTCCCTCCATCCTCTCCCTAGCTGTGCTGCTTCTGCCTGGGGACAATGACAACTGACGAGGCCACCAAGCCTGAAGGTGAGGTGCAGGCAGCTGCGCTGGCGGAGCGTGGGGAGGACATCACACCTACCCGTGACCGCGGCGTGCTGAAGGTGAGTGGGACCTGCAGTTGTGGCCATTTGTCATGGCCCTGGGGCCGTGTTCTGTCCCTGTATTCCTGGTAAGACGGACACTTCTGAGCATCGAAGGATGGAGCGAACACACTGCACACGGGTTCAGTCTGCTGAATGAATTTCACTGCTATTGTGTTTCTAATCAGATTATTAGCCTCAAATTCCACAAAGCATTTTTGTGTGTGACTCACAGACATTAGAAAGAGCACATTACTTAGGTCATGCAGTCTGCCTCGCAGCTCCTGGTTCTCATTCGGGGCCATTTCTGGATAGTTCTGCTTACCAGCACTTGCTCTTCTCCAGCTGAACAGGACCTTCCCTCTAATAATAGCATCCTCCCCTGTTGGGAACTGCTTGTTCCAGGCTGTAGCAATATAAAAGAAAAAAAAACAAGCGTTGACAAGAAGCGAGGAGTGAAACAACACACCCCCATGAGTAAAGCCCCATGCAGGGGGAACTGCACTGGTGTGGGGCTGGGTTTTAGGAATCAGATGGCTTGCCTACTGCCTTCCCCTGTGTTAGGGCAGCATTGCAGGAGAGGGTTTAAATGTGTACACATGCCTGTATTTTTTTTTTATAATGGATATATATGCATCCTAAGCTCAGCGCAGACTCTTTCCTGTGGGTGGATTTTCTCCGTAGATCATCAAGAGACCCGGGAACGAGGATGAGTTCCCTATGATTGGAGACAAGGTGTATGTGCACTATAAGGGCAAGCTGTCCAATGGCAAGAAGTTTGACTCCAGCCGCGACCGCAACGAGCCCTTTATCTTCAGCCTGGGCAAGGGTAAGGGGACGAGGGACTCCCGTGTCCCCATGGGATTAAGGAACAGCTTTCTGGGGTCCCGCTCTTGTGGGCTTTCTTTTTTTTTTTGGGTTCCTTCCTGATGCCACCTCTCTCCCAGGCCAGGTGATCAAGGCATGGGACATCGGGGTTGCTACCATGAAGAAGGGTGAGGTCTGCTACTTGCTGTGCAAACCGGAGTACGCCTACGGGGCTGCTGGCAGTGCTCCTAAAATCCCCTCCAATGCCACCCTTTTTTTCGAGGCAAGTACAGGGCTGGGAGATCTCTCTGCTTTCTGCCTTGCCAGCCAGCTCTGAGAAAGAGGAAAAAAAAAAAAGCCAAACAAAAAACAGCTTGCATTCCTGAAACGTGTCCCTCTGCTCCAGGAACCAATGCCAGTGTTTTTTCAGCAATGTGTGTCTGAGCCGAGAGTCTGCGGTGGGGAGCAGCCCTGTGGGGAGAGCCGGCACAGCCTGGCTGTGCAAAGGCACGCGAGTGGGGAAACAGCTCGGGAACACCTCCAGGGGTTAAAAATCTGCTCCTGTGCTCCCCCTGCACCTCTCAGCCACGGCTGCGCTCTTCCCTGCAGGATTAATAAACTCAGTTTTGCTGTTACTTTGTGCTGCACTTCAGGTACTGGATGTGGCCCAATTTCTAATAAATTGGGTGTATTATGCTGTGGCTTGGAGCTGGCTTTTATGGGCAACTTCTGCTTGTCAGCTGAGCACAGAATTAGTTTGCTTGGCTCTCCGGCTTGGGGATGAACTGTTGCTTTGTGGATTTTCTGTTGTTTTTCTCCTCTCCTTCCTCTCCACCCACAGTTCTGCCTACCTTCCCTTTAATCCTTTAGATAGAGTTGCTTGATTTCAAAGGCGAGGACCTGTTTGAGGATGGAGGGATCATCCGGAGGATCAAGAGGAAAGGAGAAGGCTATTCCAATCCCAACGAAGGTGCTACAGTGGAAAGTGAGTACTGGGTTGGGAGCTGCCCTTGGCACAGCATGTGACAGCTGTTCCAGAACTGCTGGCTCGGAGGGTTTTACTGGAAAACCTTGAGCTGCGGGAGCAGCCAGCTGGGGATGGAGCCACTGCTCAAGGACGGACCGCACTCTGTTTCTCCAGTCCCTATGGGGTCTTGGGGTCAGCCTCTTTCTTTTTTGTTTGCCCCTCCCTTGTCTATGAGTGGCTCCAGGATGTGGTTGTATCCAGGACCAGTGAGGTGGATGCTGAAAACTCAGGCTGTGAGTTGGATTTCAGCCTGTAGCACTGGGATTGCTGAGGTTTTTACTTAGTGTGCAGCTTGCCGGGTGCTTGGGCACATCTTTTTGTCCAGAGGAGGAGGCAGCAGCCTCTCTGGTCTCCTTGTTGCTACGCTTATTGCTGTTTTGGTGGTTTTCATTGCATCCGCTGCAGCATGGGCTCTTTTCCTTCTCATGTGGCCAGAGGACAGTTTCAAACTTCTGGTCATAGCTGATGGGGGATGAATTAACACAAAAGGGGTCTGTGGATTCAGTGTGGTCCATAGTGCATTGCAGTTCATTCTGTCCAGTTCCTCGCTCCCTCTCTGTAAGCGGGACTGAGTGATTCTGGTCATGTTTATGGAGCGAGCATCTTACTCAGGTGGGGAGAGCCAGGCTTTTGTTTCTCCTCCTGCGAACAACTCAGCCATAGAAGTGGAACTAACATGCCATCTCTGTAAGGCATCTAGTTTCTTATCCCCATTCCAGAGCTCCTGTTCGTTCAAGAGAGTCCAATTAACTTCCATTAGTGAAGGTGAAATTAGATCTGAACTTACAAAACTCACTGTCTGTTCCTCTCACAGACTTTCTTAAGACGATGTTCTTGTCTCATGCTGATCTATCTGCCTGTCACGTGGCTGGACCCTGCTGGGAGTAGGGTTTCAGGCTGCCTTCCCCATCTCTGAGGTTAACCTGAGAAACAGGCTAAACAAAATGACAACCAGCCCCATTTCCTCCTGCCTTTTTAACACTGGAGCTCTGTGTGGGGCTGCGTTTCTCTGCACCTCAAAGCTGACCTGTTCCTATTTCAAGTGGATGCTTGGTTGCAAGCAAACACAGAGAACAGGAGCACACACACAGTCAGGATAATAGAGATGAATTCCCTCGGAGGCAGTGCTGCGTAGAGCAGGAGCACTGCGCCAAGGTGGCTACGGGTCCTTTGCACCAACCTGCGATCTGGGGCCAGAGACCGTAAATGCATCCCAAGGAGAAAAGATGCAAAGGAGCAGTGAGCCAACCTGGCAGTCTTGCAGGGAAACATTTTGGGTGCAGAGAGGCTTTTTATTTTTCAAATGCATTGCTGTTTACCTCAGAGTACTTTGCTTGAGGCTGGTTTGCAGGGTCACCCAGCAGCAGAGGTGGGACCCCAAGGAGCAGCTTTGGTTTATGGGAGTGCACAGGCAAACTCTCTGTTCTTCTCGCTTCCCACCAAATCCAGCATCAGGGATAGCTCCCAGGTGCCCGAAACCTCTGTTTGAACCATGCTGGGGAAACATGTGCACTAACCAGGGCGAGCACCTCCAGGCTGGAGTTTCATAAGCAGTTCTATCAGTTAGAGTTTTACAGGCTGTAGTTTGCAGGTCCATTTCCTAAAACACGGGCTGCAGTCAAAATCCCACATTCCAGCTTTTGTTACAACCTTTCCCCACCCCCTCCCCCTCCTCTCCATTTTAATCTGAGTACAAATTGCTGTCAGCACATCAAGTTCATGTGCCAGCCGCACTCGGTACACTGTGTTCTGAGCTCTTCAAAAACAAAATCACTGCAGGCACCGGGAGAACAATAAGTCAGCACTGCAGCCGAAGGGATGTGCAGAGCCCGGCGGGGGCTTTTCTTGCTGTAATCCAAGAGCAACCGCAGCCAGCTGACCTGCTTCAGATAGCGCTGAAATGCTCCTAGAAACCGGAGCAGAGATTTCCCCGTTGCTAGTGTACAATTAGAATAGAAGGAAAACTCTTCTGCTTCTCTTGAAGCAAGGGCTGGGAGCTCATATTCTTCTGGGCATACTGTTGTGAGGAGGGCTTATGGGATCACTGCTGTGTTCTGCTGGTGACAGGTGACCCAGGGATCCGCAGTGCCGTGTGCTTGGTGCAGGGCCACGGACAATGGGTGCAGAAAACACAAGCAGAGACAGCAAGGAGCCGTGAGGTTGGTGGGCTGCTTGTGCTTTAGGCTGAACGTTCCATTTTCCCAAGGAGATCAGCAGGGTTTAGCCCTGGAGTGGACTTGCAGGAGTGTTTTCCATCATGCAGCCTGGCTGCACAAAGCAGAGTGCTGTCCTCGGCAGCGCATCAATGAATGGCCAAATCATCCCCACTTAGAAAAGGGGTTAGTTTCTTCCCAAGGCTCTCACCTCTCCCCATTTTACTGACATTTATATTGGCAGTAGAAACCTTTCTGGCTTCTCAGCAGCATGCGTGTGAGAAGCTCATGTCCATCCATCCATGCTGTTGGGTTCTGCAGCAGTGAGCAGCTGCAACATACTTAAGCACTTTTGGAAGCATTAATGCCTAACCATGATTTTTTTTTTTCCCTTGTTGAAGGCTTTTGGGGAGTTTTCCTGCAGTAGGTGGGAGTGTCTTATGAGATTGCTTTTATTTTGTTTGCTTTGAGTGCAGGGAACACCCGCTGTCCCCCATGCGCACACCATCCTCAGGATTGAATAAATGAGGAACGATCTCAGGGTGGAAATCATGCCAGGAGCACCAGGTGGCAAATTTGCCGGGTCTGCTGTTCGTTCTCCAGCTCCATGGGCTGGAACAGTGTGCTTATTGGTTGAAGACAAAAAATATAAATGTTTATTTTGTACTTTCGGTTCAGTAGAGGCAGGAGAACATGGCCTTGTTTTCGAGGTGTAATGCGAGCGTACAGTGTAGTATAGGAGATCTGTAATCACCGTGATAAACTCCACGTGGCAGTGTGCCAGGAGCAGTATCCAGTTCCAGTAAGGCTGACTCGTGCAGTGCAGCACAAGAGGAACATATTAGTCATAATGTTTATCTGTTGTCTGGTCCTTGCTGGGATGAGATATGGCTGCACTGCTTTTTAGCAATGTTCTTCAAGCCCTCCCACCCCTGTCTGCTCACTGTCTCCCCTGATGCTTCCAAGGCTCTGGCTCAGCTTGGGGGAGGATGTGGGATTTTGGGGTCTTGTGGTCGGTCACTGGATGGAACTGCCCCATCTCTGCTCCCGCTTCCTTAAGTGCCACCTATATGCAAAATCCCTTGGAAAATGGTTTATGGGGAGCCACAGGGCTCAGGGCCCACACGGTGCTGACTGCCTGTGGTCTTCACTCTGTCCCACAGTTCACCTGGAAGGGTTCTGTGGTGGAACCCGCTTTGACTGCAAGGATGTGAAGTTTGTAGTGGGCGAAGGAGAGGACCACGACATCCCTATTGGCATTGACAAAGCGCTGGAGAAGATGCAGAGGGGAGAGCACTGTGTCCTCTACCTAGGGCCACGGTAAGGGATTCTGCGCCCATGCTGCTCGGTGCAGGGTTGAAACTTCCAATATTGGAGGCCATTGGAGCATTTGTGAAAATGCAAATGTGCCAACAGAACTTCTCTGGGATATGTTAGTATCACCAGCAGGGAATGCCAGAGTGGTAAGTGGGAGGCAGGTACTTGAAAGGGGTTTTATCCAGCTGTTGGCGCTCAGGAAATCACTGTTCCTTGTCCTGACGCATGATGAAAGCTGTGTAAAGCCAGGTCTGATGCACCTGTGTGCATCTGGAGATGCACATGTGTAATGCATCGTATGCTGCAGCATATATTTGCTTCTAGAGGATAATAGCACTCCAACCCAACAGCATTAGCATGGAGCCGGTTGTGAGAACAGCAAGCCACTTGGTTGTGTGCTTGCTAAAATGAAGATACAGGGGATTTAGCTTTCCTCCTGCTTTTTAAAGATGCTGGTTGATGAAGGGGGGTATTTAGGAGGAGAATGGCCGAGTCAGCAGAGGAAGGAAGGGGCTGGGGGGAGGCTGGTCCTGGGGGGAGGCTGTGGGTGCCCTGACCTCCCCCCCGAAAGCTTCTTGCTTCTTCCCTACAGATACGGCTTCGGCGAGGCAGGGAAACCCAAGTACGGCATTCAGGCGAACGCTGAGCTGGTGTACGAGGTCACGCTGAAAAGCTTTGAGAAGGTGAGGGCAGGACTCCCCCGCACTCCCCACACTGTGCTCACCCTTTGTCCCTGGCCTGGCTGCGCCAGGGCCCCTGCCGAAGTGGAGACGTCAGCAAGGATCGCTGTGTTCTTAATTTGTTCTTGTGTGTTAGTTTGTTTCATTTTTCTGGCCAAGCTCCAAGGCTGGTCCTCTTATTTGTTCCTAACCTTGTTCCTTTTGTACTTTTTTTCTATCTCCTTGGGCTGCACAGAAAAAAAAATATTAAGATTTGAGTCCTGATGGGAGAGGGTTGGGGTGAATGCTGGAGGGGCTGGGGATGGGGACAGGGACTGGGGACAGCATAGGGATAGGGCAGGTGCTGCTGGTCCCCTAACCTTGGCTGGAGCAGGGATGATGCCAAGACCCTATGCTGGGGAGAGATCTTCCTTTTTTTTTTTTTTTTTTTTCATTCTGTGGGGTTGCTATGTGTGTACCACAGTGGACAAATCATGCTGTATAGCTGGGCTCAGAGTGCATCCTATCCCTGCAGTAGTTACTCTGCACCCCAAGGCATGCCCTTTGTGTGCTCCATGAATGTTTCCTATTCCCTATCTGCTCCACTCCTTCAAATTCAGCACTCTGTCCTGTGCAAGACCACCTTGCTGAGCCCCACTCTATTAAAGAGAAATCCTCCAAAGCTTCCTGGGGCTGTCTGGATTGTGGCATCCCATTAACTTTGCTCTTCTTACCGCTTCCTAAGGGTGTGCATGCAGGTGGGTCTGGTGCTTTGGAGTTGCATGGTGTGTTGATCTGGCGCTGTTCCCACCCTGCAACTGCTGCTATGCCTTGGGGTGGTGGCTCTGAGCTTGTCTTTGCAGGCCAAAGAGTCATGGGAGATGGACACCAAAGAGAAGCTGGAGCAGGCTGCCATCGTCAAGGAGAAGGGGACAATGTACTTCAAGGTTTGTGACACCTGGATAGAAGCAGGGAGCTTGCACTGCTGGGCCCTTGGAGCAAGTCCTGGTTCACCTCACTGGGTCTTCAAGGAGTAAAAATATCAGAAATGTCCCCTCCCAAAAAGTGCCAGTCCTCTGCCAAGTCCTCTCCCTGCGTAACAAATACACTCCATAGGCAACGCAGCATTACTGGGGCCATGCAGCCTCATCCACTCCTGCCTGCCCAGCTATTCGCTGTCCTCAGCAGATCCACTGTCTTTCTGAGTCTGGATTCATAAAGTAGAATCATAGAACCGTGGAATGATTGGGTTGAATGAGAACTTAAAGATCATGAAACTATGGAACGGTTGGGTCAGAAGGGCCCTCGCAGCCCTGCCGCCTTCCTCCCCACCTCAGGACACCACCAGGGATGGGGCACCTTCTGGGCAGAAGTGCTGGATAACCTCACTGCCCTCTGAGTAAAAAGCTCTGCCTAACATCAAACCTAAACTTCCCCTTTTTATTTTAAACCCTTCCCCGTATCCTGTTTTTGCTCCATCTCAGGAAGGCAAATACCTGCAGGCGGTGATTCAGTATGGGAAGATCGTGTCCTGGCTGGAGATGGAGTATGGCTTGTCAGAGAAGGAGTCAAAAGCCTCCGATTCCTTCCTGCTGGCTGCCTTCCTCAACCTGGCCATGTGCTATCTGAAGCTGCGCGAGTACACCAAAGCTGTTGAGTGCTGTGATAAGGTATGGGAGCACAACTTTTGTTTTACTCTTCCTTTCCTATTCAGTTTGTCTTCGCAGCAGTTTCCAAAGGGCACTGTGTTGGTGGCATTAAGAACACTTAACTATTTTATAAAAGGCTCAAATTTACAATTGTTTGAGTTGGAAGGGACCTTTGAAGGCCGTCTGGTCCCACTCCCTGAGCTGCACAGTGATACCCACAGCTCCGTCAGATTCTCAGAGCCCTGTCCAGCCCCGACCTTGGGTGTCTTCAGAATTAGGCATCCACCAAAATTTAGGAATCTTGCCTCTGGTTCTTCATTGCATAAGGCTTGCTGCCTTAACTCAAATGGAAGTTACCAATGAGACGCATCTGTGGCTCTCAGGAAGCTTTCACTATAAGGAAATAACATGAAGCTGGGACAAAAACTCACAGTATCCATAGTGAACACGCTGCTGAGGGTTGCTGGGTTCTGGAGAACTCTGTGCTTGCAGGCGCTGGGGCTGGACCAGGACAACGAGAAGGGCTTGTACCGGCGGGGTGAGGCCCGGCTGCTGATGAACGAGTTTGAGCTGGCAAAATGTGACTTTCAGAAAGTGCTAGAGGTGAACCCACAGAACAAAGCAGCCAGGTCGCAGATTGCCGTCTGCCAGAAGAAGACAAAGGAGCACAATGAGCGGGACAGGAGGATCTACGCCAACATGTTTGCCAAGTTTGCTGAGAGGGATGCAAAGGTTTGTCGTGCCTGGAGGTTGGGTTTGGGATGCTCAGCATGGTGATGGGGCTGAAACAGAGCAAATGGAGACTGGGACAAGGATGGAGGTCTGGATGGCAGTTACAGGTCACGCGTGGGCTGCAGCTGTAGGTCATGCATGAGTTCATAGAATTTTAGAATCACCACGGTTGGATAATACCTACACAATCATGCAGTCCAACCATCTACCTATCACCAATATTTTCCACTAAACCATGTCCCTCAGTACAACATCTAAATGTTTCTTGAACACCTCCAGGGTCAGTGACTCCACCACCTCCCTGGGCAGCCCTTTCCAGCACCTGGCCACTCTCTTGGAGAAGTATTTCCTAATGTCCAACCTGAATCTCCCCTGGTGCAACTTCAGGCCATGAGGGTCGTATATGTGCTACAGCTATAGGTCTGTGTGGGCTGTGGCTGTAGTTCACTTATGGACTGCAGCTGTAGGGCTGAATGGGCTGCAGCTATAGACTGTGTGTGGGTTGACAGAGCAGCATGGGAAGGAACCCCTTGGTTCTTGGTCTGTTGCACACAGAAGCTGTTGTCAGGTGCTCACTTGTCGATTAAAGTGTTTAGGACATGGGCCCGTGACAGCTGGCAACAGATTTGGTGTTTGTGCTCCAGGTGCTGTCCCCTGCCTGTGGCGATTGATGACATGGGTAAAGCAAAATCTCAGCCGCTCTCTGGCAAGGCCGGGGGGAGTTTGAGACATGATAGTATGAATTTCCTGAATCATATAACCCAACACTCTGCTCCTCTGCTTATATAAGAGATCGCTTTCTTGTAATAGGCTCTTATCCAAAATTCCTTCAAACAAAAACCAATGCACAGTGTACCATAACGGGAGAGGACAACTTTGCAGTCTGTGTGAGTCATTTTTGGTATAATCTCTTCTGAACCAGTGTCTGAAAATGAGGCGGTGGAATATGTGAGTGCAGTGGACAGGGAGCAGCTGTGGCCCAGCACCAGGAGGTGGGTAGGGAGCGGGGCTGTGCTCAGCTGCCAGCTGTACGTGGGCTGCAGGATGTTGTCCTGCACCCGTGGGTCTGGCTGCAGCTATAGCTTGTTGTGTATGGGCTGCACCAATTGATTGGCTGCAGCTATATCTCCATGTATAGACCACAGGTACTGCCCAGCACGTGGACTACAGCTCCATAGCCCATCATTCCTGTTTCTTGCTCTGTATTTCTCTTTCAGGAAGCAGCCAGCAAAACCAGAGTAGAAAAAGAGGCAGCGACAGCATCATGTGATGAAGGCAAAGAGACAGAGGGGCACGTATGATGGAGGAGGTGGCAGAAGGGCAAGCCTCCTGCCTTCAGCCTGTGCCAAGAACTTTGCCAGGACTCAGGACCTGCTGGTGTTTCCTTGTAAAGTTTGTTCCAGTTTGTGTGATTGTGGAAGCAAAAGTGCCTCGCAGAGATCAGACCAGCCCGGTGCTGCTGCCAGCTGCGAGCAGTTGGATGGTGTGGGACCACCACCAGTGGAACAACCGCCTTCGCAGGGGTGGGGGACAAAGAAATCAAAGCTGGAACTCCTGGCTTCAGGAGGCTCACCTTGCTCTATGTCCTCTGGGAGCAACTGGGATGTCGAAGCAGTGTGGCAGGTTGCAACCAAGCCTTCCTCATGCACTGCCTTCCTCCTCTTTCTTCTCACTGTAGGGCTGGGGGAGCTGCAACAGGGTGTCCGGACCCCACTGTGCTCACTGGTTGTGTTCCCTGTTCAAATTTTTCAACAGAGGTTTCATGGCCCATAGGAACAAAAATAATTAAAAAAAAAGAAAAAAAAAAAAAAAGAAAGAAAGAAAAAAAAAAAAGGAGAGAAGCAGTGGTCAGGGATCAAAGGGGAGGTTCTTGTGGAACTGGTGCTGCACGGTGCCATCCTCCAGCCAGCCCTGTGAGAAAGGATGTGGGCACTGCCTGCAGAGAACAGCTTTCAAGTTTTTATTTTTACTGTCTGGTCTTTGTAATACCCATTGGAAGCTGGAAAATAGAGAACTGAAAAAAAAAATAAAAATTGGTTAAAATAGAAAAGTGCTTCTCTGCTCCATCCCAGAGGGGATGCAGCAGTTTGAGTGTGTTATGGAGTTATTGCTGTCTTCTAGGCCTGGTCCTGCTTTGGAAAGCTGTTTGTAGTCCTGCTTTGAGATTCTGCTTTAGGGTATTGCTTGGGGTCCTGCTTCGGGGGTGTTGCTTTAGAGTGCACCTTTGGATGCTGCTTTGAGGTCTTGCTTTGGGGTTCTGCTTTGAAATGCCCCTATGGGTGCTGCTTGGGGTCCTGCCTTGGGGTCTTCCTTTGGGGTGCTCCTTTGGGGTCTTGCTTTGTGTTGCTGCTTTGGAGTCCTGCTTTGAGGTGCCACTTTTGGGTTGCAGCAGTGCAGACATCCCATCCAGGGGAGTTTGTCCCAATGCCTTCATTTGTTCAGCACCACCGTTTGGGAGATTTGGGGCTGGTGTTTCGGGGTTTCGCTTGCCACAGGTCTGGTTCTGGGGTAAAAAGTTGAATGGAAGTGATGGCTCTGCAAAAAAATGTTTTCATTTTGCAAGCGGGGCAAACAAGTCACTTTGGATCACTTTGGATCAGCTAAAGTCATGTTTTCCTTAGGAAACGACTCTGGCTTGCTCCACAGAAACTTGTAACTCTGGCTACACGGCTCGAGGGTGGCAGTGTTGAGCACACCATGGCTCAGGGTGCTCCTCTCTGCGTGGGGTGTGCAGTGTCCAAATGCCACCTAGTGGCACTGGGTGCTGCAGGGAGCAAGGCTTCAGTGGGTTTGATGCTGCAGTGGGGTTGTGTTGAGGAAGGAGTGGGTTTGATGCTGCAGTGGGGTTGAGTTGGGTAAGCAGTACGTTTGGTGCTGCCATGATGTTGAGTTGGGTAAGCAGTAAGTCCAGCAGGGATCCTTGGCTTTTCTGTGCAAACCAACCCCAGTTCTGTGTTTCTATCCCCAACAGTGGGTGAGAAAAAGGAGGCAAGCCACAAACAAATCCCTCAGGTTCCCTTTTATTGGGATTACTGCGACAGCTGTCACTCTCCCTGCAGGGCCGGCCAGCCCTGAAATCCTATTACTGAGTTTCAAGAGAAATAAAAAGTTAATCATCTCCTCTGCGCACTCCTGCGCTGCTGGCACCAGGGCTGAGGCTGCACCCATGGAACCAGCTCTGATCCTATAGGCGCTGCAGCGATGCCACTGCAGACTGAGATCCTGCGTGAGGTGTGGGCCATCGACAGGTGAGGTCCCTTTTTCTCCCTTTTCAGTTTAATGGTTTGTCTTAGTGTAATTCTGTCGAATTTTTTCTCTTTTTCTCTTTTTTTTTTTCTTTTTTTTTTTTTCTTTTTGCTTGTTTGCTTGCCTCAATGGTCAGTGCCTCGGTGCTTGGTGGCTTGCAATGGGAAAAGCATTAATTAGGGCACATTCCCGCTGGTTAACCTCACTGCCATCAGCACTGACCAAAGCAGAGCCCAGCCTGTGCTTGGCCCTGTTGGGATATGGGGAAGCTGCTTTGGAAAACTGCTATCCGTTTTGGCTCACGTTCATCAAAAAATAAACTTTCCAATGGGGCCAGCCCTCACCCATCTGCTTCCTCTGCCCACAGCCCCAGCGAGGAGCTGAGCAGCCCTCAGCAGCAGCGGCTGAAGCAGGTGAGGAGCAATTCTTCTACGGGCTGAGGATGGGTGCAGCCCCTGGCCACATTGTGGTGGGAGTGGAGTGGGGTTGGTGCTCAGTCCTGGGTGAGTGCAGGCGTTTGTGGGACCCTACTCTGCTTCTGATCTGCGCATCCTTCCCAAGCCCATCTCCATCCCATCAGATGGGGCCTCAGCTCCTGATTAGTGCTTTAATTAATCATTTCAGCTGTCAGCAGTGTCACTTTCCAGGCTGTGACCCCTTCTAGGGGTGGCTGCATTTTGAGGCAGCCCTTTGGGACAGACCCTGACAGGGGTCTCGGCAGCAATCTGAGTACTCTGCTGTTATTAGCAGACTTTGTTAAGTCTGCTAACAAAGTGGAGGGCCATCCTATCCCTGGGCTGCTCAGGTGATTAAAGGAGGGAAAGAGCTTTTTTGTAGCCAGCTGAAAGAATTTGGGATTTGCAGCCCCACCACGAGACCCTGAGGAATATGCACTAGGAGATGGCAGTGGGTTAGTGCTGTGGGGCAGATCCATCCTTTTGTGGTGCTGAAGTGCTGGGGGCTCTGCCTGGGAAGGATCCCCTCAGAGCAAATCCCTCACAAAGGGGGGATGCTTTGCACCCAGATGTGATCAGTGCTGATGCAATCAGTGCTGCATCACTCCTGGGGGACCCCGACCAGGTGCCCTCTCCCTCTGATGTCCCCTGCCTGGTGCTGAACCACATGCTCTGCATTTGGTAAATCAGCATTATTTATAGCCCAGGGTAAAGAGGATTAGGTGTGCTGCCTTTAATCCCCCACTTCCTCCTGCCCTGCTTCTGCTGACCTCGATCCTTGCAGCTCTGGTGTCCCTAGCCTGTCTCAGCACATGGCCTTCAATCTCCACCCCACAATCCGGTTTCCATAGGAAACACATGTGGGCGAGAGGAGCCAGAGGGATTTTGGTCCCCACACTCCCTGTGTATCCCTTGTGGCTCACATATGGTGGTATGGCATCATGTCCCCCATCCCCTGGACAGGCATGGTGTGGTACTGCTGCCCTCCAATCTCTCTGCTAATGGCCCGTTCTGTTTCCTTCCTGCCATCCCTCTGTGGGCCAACCCCATGGTAAGTTGTTCATGTAACAGTGCAGCACGTCCCTTGCAAGAGCTTTTGCAAGAACAATGCAAGAGCTGCCGTGCTCACAGAATCCCTTTCCAAAATGCACCAGTGTGCTCCAGCTGCTGTAAGAGCAGATGCTGAACCATGGCACGGTCGGTCTCTGCAGCATCGTCTGTGGGGCAGAAGCTGAAGAAGAAACGGCAGGAGCCAGCAATGGAGCCCGAAGCCAAACCACGACGGCTGCGGGTGAAGAAGCCAAGTGATCCCAGGGGTACCGAGGAGCCCCATGGCCCAGTGCAGGGTGAGCAGCTTATGGGGGCCCTCTGCCAGCTCCTGTTCCCTCCAAAGCTTATGCCCCATGCACCCATGGTGCTCCTTGTCAAACGGGCTCTTGAAATGTGCAGGGGTGAAGAAAGTGGGGAAGAAAAAGGAGAAAGGAGAGGAGGAGGGTGATAAGGAGCCCAGCTCCAAACCCCTCCGGGAGCCTCGGAAGAAAAAGGAGAGCTCAGCGCCTCGATCCCATGTGGCCAAAGGCCAAACAAAGCAGCAAGGTGAGGGGACATGGCGGGCAGCAGCCACCCTCCATGGGCACATGGAGGTTGTACCACAGCATGGTACAACCACATTCCCTCACGTACCATGTGTCCCCACGAACCACAACCCTGTGTGTCACAACCCCAAGCACTTTGTCCCCACTGTCCACCCCACTCATATCCACAGCAATTCTGCATCCCCTCAGGGTGCTTTTTGCCCCCAAATCAGCCTCATGCATCCAAAAAGGATGGGGAAACTCCAGCCCCATGTCCCCACGCCTCATGTCCCCACTCACCACATCCCTATGTCCACGCTATCAGTTTCTGCAGAAACCCTGCATACCCCTGTGGTGGTTTTTGTCCCCAAATCAGCCTGATGCATGAAAGGTGGGAACCCCCCAGATCCATGTGTGTCCCTCTGTCCCTTGTGTGCCACCACCATCTCTCTGCTGTGTCCCACTGGGCAGAGGTATCTGAGGAGGAGGAGGAGGAGGAGGAGGAGGAGGAGGAGGAAGATGAGATGGAGAGTAAAGATCCTCCCAAAAAGCTGAAGAAGAAACTGACGAAAGAGCCACCCTCAGGGGATAAGAAGCTGAAAGCAAAGGGTGAATACACAGGGGTGGCACAGTCCCAGTCCACTGTCACCATGTGACCTCTGTCACTGGCTGTCCCTGGTCTGGCCCTCCAGGTGACAAAAGTGATGCTGACAGCAAAACCAAATCTACCAAAAGCGCCAAGAAGGAGCTGATATCTGTGTTCCATGTGAATGGGGAGAAGAAGGAGAAGAAGAGCAAAAAGAAAGGTATGAGGTGAGCGGGGTTGGCATCCTCATCCAGCAGCTCCCACGATGTGTGATGGTGTCCCCATGTTCCCATAACCCTGTGTTCCCATGCACCGTTTTCCCATATCCCCACATCCCTGTGTCGCTTTGTCCCTGTGTCTCCATGTCCTCATGTCCCCGTGTCCTTGTGCCCCCCAGCTGCCACTGGCAGTGATGAGGAGGATGACTCTGATGCCAGTACCAAACCTATCCGATCGGGTAAGAAGAAGAATCCGGTGTCACTCTTCCAGACTGGTGGGGACCCTCCCAGAGAGAGAAAAACCAGGAAGAAAGGTGGGAGCAGCGCTAGGGGGCTCCAGGGCCATGGGGGGCCTGGCTATGGGGCATTATTAATGATGTGTTGGCATTCTCTCCTGTCTACAGCCCCTAAAGCAGCAGAGAGCGAAGAGGACGCCTTGGAGACACAGCAGAAGAACTCCAACAAGAAGGGCAAAGGGAAGAAATCTAAGAAGGTAATGGGGGGAAATGCCAGAGACACCCATACAGTGGGTCAGGAGCCTCCCCTGGAGTAGGTCTGCATGGCCATACTGCCCCCAGAGCCAAATCCTGAGGGCACGTGGGGTGTAAGGAACTGGGAAATGGCAGTAAATGGCACAGGGCTTGGGATCCCCCAAAAAAGCTGTGGTGTGGCCCTGCAGAAGGAGGAGAGGCCGCTGTCACCTGTCATCGAGGTAGACAACCTGGAGAAGTTTGTGCTGTCCCCAGCGCCACAGGGGGTGACCATCAAGTGCCGGGTGACGCGGGACAAGAGGGGTATGGACCGGGGCCTGTACCCCACCTACTACCTGCACCTGGATAACGACAAAAAGGTGAGCAGGCAGGGGGCCGGAGACCCATGGGAACACCCAAGGAGTGCACCCATACGGTTTTTAGGGCATGCCTATGCGCACTCCACTGGGTTACTTCTGTC